GCCTTGAGTTTGGTGACAACAAAGAATTCCTTAAACTCTAAATCTAAGTGAAATAGTTTGTTTTACATGAACATGGAATTGGGTAATTTAGGGTCTTATTCGAGCGTGATCAGTCCGACTGAATTGCACTTATCAAGTTGCGCCCGTGCGCCCCAGAGGTGCAGTGTTTAGGTGTAGCACCTCTGTCCTGTGGAGGGAGGCTCCAATTTCACTGTGAGAGGAGAACATGACTCTGCAGTGGGACTTGCATCAGACCCTCTCTGCCTTTGAGCATCACAAATACTGTGTGTCTATGTGCTTGCTGTGGTCCCTAATGTCAAGTGTTTAATAGTTAATAAGTCTTGTTTACTTAGCAGAGTGGTTGCCCACACAGCAGATGCGGATATCAGAAACTTCACAAAGGACTGGCATTTGCAGAATCTAAAATTGAATAGTCAAAATTTTATGAATTAAATCTATTTGTAAGGAGAAGATGAAAAATCAAAATGTAGCGTTGAATGATGTGATGTTCCCGCCTTGACCCTCATGCAGGGGAGGTCTGTGGAGATGTCAGATCATAAACAATGCTAGTCTCAATGATATGAAGGCACATCTGTAGTCGACCAATCATTTATTTGGTCGACTACATCCTGTACATCAGACCATTATATCGTGAAGACAGTCGTAGAGCCGTGGTCTGCCAATGCACCTGCAGGTTCTGCTCTGCGGCACTGAGCCACTCTGTTAAAGGCAGAGAAACTCGAGAGGTTTCAGTGGTAAAGTCTTCTGTTTACTTTTGCATAGAATTACATAAACAAACTGAATGAATAAATAGACGGAGCTCATATTTGCACCAATAAGGCCAATGAATCAGCTTGATCAAATAAACTCCTGATCAATTGGTCTTTGTTAGGACTGGTCCACTGAGAGCATATAAACTGAGCCTGTCATCATTCATTTCCATTATTTACGACGCGCAGACCTTAGGTCACCAGTTGGCCTGTGTGCAAACTGTTTGACCAATTCATGCCTGTAAAAATAATGGGTTTGACTCCAGTGGTGTTGACTCTGAAATGTCCTGGGAGCACTCTGTCTGTGGCCGGGCTTTATTGCCATTTATAATGCATGAGCAGGTGTTTAAGTTTTCAAATCATAGTCATCTTAAAGACACTCAAACATCTGAATGGAATCACCTCCTCTGCCACAAGTCGACCAAAGACAATTGACTATAGCTGCACAACTCCACTGTCAGTAAATGATTATGTTCATTATGATAATAAAGATTTAAAATCCTAAATGTGGCATAAATTGACAAGAATCAGCCAAAGTGCAACAGGTAATATGTGCCCTTTAAAAAGATTTGTTGTTGGCTCTCAGTTTACCAAAGACAATCGTGAAGATAAAGAAAAAATCAACAACAAAGTATGTCCATCCTTTTTCTGCCCCTTAATCCATTTCTGGGTTGGGGGGTTCAGACCCCTCACTGGTCCTCCTGCAGGTGGTGAGTCCACAGGAGCCTTGATCGTTCAGTGGAGGCTTCAGGCAAAGGCTTCAGTGGGAGTGAAATGGGTCTTATGGTGAGCTCGAACCCACGACCTTCAGGCTCAAAGGCCAATGCTCTACCAACTGAGCCACTGTCCCCCTATCCCCCCAAAGTATGTATTTTTTACAAATAAAAAACGAAAGAAGTGAGTGTTAAAATGTACCCTATCACAAAACAATAGAATTTCTAACCTGATGTTTTGTTTATATCAAAGGTCTATATGTTTAGCGAAGCAGCCCTGATGCAAGGTATAAACATCCACCGTGCTCAAGTCTTTTGCTGACTCCCACAGAGCCATCAGCATGATACACGTAGGGCCAGTCACTGTTCAACTGAATAATAATCATTTGAATTTATGCTGACAGTAGCTCAGTTGGTAGAGCATTGGCCTTTGGACCTGAAGGTCGTGGGTTTGAGCCCACCACAAGACCTACTTCACTACTCCCACTGATGACTGCTGTCGTTGTGTCCTTGGGCAAGACACTTAACTCACCTTTGCCTGAAGCCCCCGCTGAAAGCTCAGCGGGGGCTTCAGGATCCACCTGCAGGAGCATCAGTGAGGGGCTGGTGCTCTGTGTACTGGGTGCAACTCTGACTGCCACCCAGACCCAGACCCAGAAATGGATTGAGGGGAAGAAAATGGATGGATGAATTTTTGGCCTTGTTTACATTTGGATGTCAACCCTCACTCTAGTTCAAAACTCAGTAAAATTGACTTACTTTAATGATAAACAGATGAGGAGGGCCTTGGACAGCGAATTAGAGCTGGCGTACATTTATCACTTGTTGCTCATTTAAAACCCAGCTCTTGTGTTTTGTTCACCTGCAGCCTGCACACAAAAGAGAAACTAGTTGAAACTGTTGTTGAAGGCATTTATGATACAAGCTTAAAATGCACACAACCATCACACATTGATCCCACAGCATTCACAAGTTAAAACACATCCTGCTGCAGCAATACCAACTTAAACATGTCCCAAAACAAAATATACTGATTGGAGAACACAGAACACACACCACTTGCCGACCCTACACAGTACACAGCACATTAGAGCGTAACAGAAAAACAGAGGACTAATGAGAGAGAATTCAAAACGGGCGCTTCACATTCTTCTCACACACAATTTCGTCCTTTGCAGTGACCTTTCACACGTCTGTAGCATTAATTAAGCAAGCAGTGTGCATTATCTGACCTTGCTTATCTGACCTGGCCTCCTCCTCCTGCAGGTTCCTGTTGGATGCTGACAAAGGAAGCGCTGGTGCTGACTTGCTTTGGCTCTGGCACATTGTAGAGCAGCTGTTTATGTACAAGCAACATAAATCATCCAACATTGTGGACATTTGAGAGCGATTTTAATGTATCATTTTTTCCCCCCCGTAGGAACATTGAATCCTAAATGCGTATAGATAGTGGCGTAAATGATGTATGAATCTTCTCGGCGGTTAATTGATTTGGAACTGCTTGGGTTTGATTGTTGGAGGATACTATACTTTGAGTCAGAAAGTATTGATTGAGAATTCTCGCCTGGTCCTTCCCTGGTCATGCTATTAAGGTCTGCATGGGATAGAATGTACTTAAAATCAACTTAAAGCAAGACAATTTGAAGCGGTAAGAAGTTGTGTTGTAGTTATTGTGTAGTTTGACCCAATTTCAAACAAATTATTGTGTTTTTTAGGCACTATTTCTTTGGTGTGACCTGAAAATACATTATTTCTGCACGTACATCTGTAGCTCACCAGGACGTCAGCACATTACACACACTTTAGGCTTTCTTCGTGTTATTGTGTTAAATATATCAACTTTATTGTGCCTTCAGGATTGTTAATTTGTCAGATGGACAGATTAAATGGAGTGTGTATTCTCTGTGTAGGACTCTAAAAGACACCAACAAACTGGCATTCTACTGTAATGGCTTCAGTGTGATTTGGAGATTTTATACACATCAGTGCACGTAACTACTAAAAGAACAGAAACATGGCTTTCCTACAGGTTTATGCAGCACTGTAAATAGAGAAGAAGGTATTTTCTTGCATAATTCCTACTGTGGAAAAACTAATTTTAGTCTAGTTGTGAATCAAATGAACACCCAGGTACTTTGAGTTCACTCTCTATATGTCACCTTCACCTGTAGATTTTGCACCCACAATGGTAAACATGCTCAACACAAAATTAGATTATGTCTCTTGTTTTTTATTACTCTTTTCCATTGACCACCAATTGATTGACATATGCCTGCTGCTCCAGTCACGATTGACCCGGAACCACACATGTCCTTATGATTTAGGGGACCACAGACAGAACAGGGTACCACTGAGCTTATGACTTCTGAGTCCACTGGAGTGAATTAGGGCTATGCAAAAATAAATGGAAGTGAATGAATCAAGAGATGATTATGTGCAGTGAAATGTTTGCAATAAGAGTCATGTTTATTAGAAGTGGCAGATGGATAGAGTAAATGGCAAAACCGTGTGGGCTGAGAGTCAGTGAGGAAGACAAGCAAATTCATTGCTATTGATCAAGTCCACTACAGTGTAGGCACTAGGCCAACGGTTGCATCCTATTCCAGACCAATAAAATCCTATTGAACTCAAGTGCAGCTGTCCAAGACCCTCAAATACGTTATATATGACAAACTAAGGACTGGTGTTGTCACATGGGCCAATAATATGCTGTTATGGGTTTAATTATTTTTTTATTTTTTTATTTTTTACTAAACTTACTAAATCAAATAAAAGCATTCACATTTAATGTTCCAATCCAGGCACAACCTGCATAACACAGCATAATCCTGTGTCCAGTTTTTGTCTCATTTGATCAGTGATGTGCCCTAAATTACAAGAAGTGGATCCTAAATGGGGTTGAGCTGAGGGTCCCCAGATTTCTATGTGGTTTTGCATTGAATCTGGTGCCAAACAATAAAACAGTGCACGTGAGTTTATAGATGAGTCCAACAGTAAATAAAGCATTAAGTCGGGTACCATATATATTGCCGTTATATAAGATGATAACCGCTGCTGCCCATGTTTGATTTTACTTAAGGCAACAAAAGCACTTGAACAGACCCTGAAATTAGTTCACATGGGAAAGATACTCGCGGATTATTGTTAGCTATAAAGTGTTCCATGTGAAAAGTTCTTGGTATTAATTGTTATCCCAACGCTCCCTCTCTCTCTCTCTCTCTCTCTCTGTCTCTCTCTCAAAGACGCGCGGGGCAGAGTAGAGCAAATGAGTGGAGGAGAGGCCCCCACATTATGCAGCTGGGCACAACTAGGACTGCTATGAAACACAGCCCAGCAGGTTCACGAATCATATTTTCCTTTTAATTCTTTTTCCGTCGTTCTGTCCTGCCTGGAGCCTCCTGTGGAGCATCCTCTGGAGCATGCTGAAGTGAACCAGAGTTGGAGCGCTCAGACTTGGCGCAGGAGATTGTCTCTTCACAGCCTCTGCCGCTGGAGCTGGAGCGATGCGCGGGGCACGATGTGCTCCAGTCGGAAGATCCTGTGGAGCTTGCTGCTGTTATCCGTGCTGGAGGTGGGCTTGGGTGTGGCCAGCATCGTCCTGGGGGCCGTGGGAATCAGCGCAGTTCGTGGACAGCACAAGCCGCAACAGGGCGACGCGTCCCCTGTCTGGAGCGGTCTCTGCGTAAGTCCGAAAACACTTTTAGTCCTGCAAAAGACTTTGTTTTAAAACTACGTAAACTAAAGAAATGTATCTAGGGCTGTAGGACCATACTTAAAACTAAAACATTTACAAGGCACATTATCTGCTTCATTATGAGCTACAGAGCACATCATTCAGGGTCACCACCTTCTGTGCCCGTGTCCAACAGCTGGATATACTGGAGACACTCTATGTGTGGATCTATGTGTGTCACAAAATATGGTCACAGAGCAGGCTGTGGATAATCCTGTGGGTTATTATCAAAAGTCAGTCACTTGAAGAATTCAAACTACAACTAAAAAAGTTTCTTATTGACTTATGCATTTCTTTTTGTCCCTGCAGTTTCTGGTCTGTGGGATGTGTGGAGTGCTGTGTGCTCGAAAGAGAACAGGGCTTATTGTGAGTATATTGTAAGCAATCTTAAGTCATTGATAATAAAAACTAAAACCTGCCTCAAATAGAGGCTGTAAAGCAGTTCCAGAGTGAAGAGAACACAAGAGACAACCAGTCACCTCCCCGGCTTTTTCTGTCACTCTGTTTTTGCTTAGCTCCACTCTCCCGCTGAGTCCTCATGTTTCTTCCTGACTGTCTGTCTATGTCTTTGTCTGTGATGGATCAATGTCAGCATGATCACCTGCAACATCGCCCTTTTAACATCCCTCTTCACAAAAGTAACACTCCCACCCGTGCCCCAACAGCACACTTATTTAACCGCTCCATTACTATTATACCTCCTGTTTACAAACATTCCTCCAGTCAAGTGCTCCTCAGAAAGCTTGCCCTGCATCGCTCTGCCTGCCTCTGGGACAGTGATTGCATTAGGTTGGGAAGGCTCCGGACTCTTGCCAGCCAATCTCAACTCTTCAGCGGGTAATGACTGAAACTGGAGATGCCCCTTTCCATGCGGTTAGAGGCATCTACGCTGGGAGCAATGAAAAAGAGGCAGCCTTCAAAACAAACCCATCTCTTCACACACGCGCTAAAACCAGCTGGTGGCAAAATCCATTAACGCCAATTAATCATGTTGATGGAAACCAAAACAATATTATTTATTCCTCTGATGTTTCTTTGAGAATTTGTGATAGATTTTGCTCACAGCCTGTGATGTAAGCATATTTATGGCACTCACAGTGATTTTGAGTTGAGCCAGGTCCAATTTTCTAATAGGAAATCAGATTTATTTTGACTGGTATTCATTCCTCATCACCACAGCTATTACATCTTACGTACAGCAAATGAAAAAATATGGGACTTTAGTTGTAAATTCCTCCTGCATCTCATCATGTTTAGTCTGTTTGCTAACAGTTTGGGAAATGAGAGCATATATGTTCACGTTAACACCAGCCTCTCTCTCCCTCGTCTGACTTACAGATGATCCTGTTTTCAGCCTGCTGTATCTGCGGTCTCATCGGAGGAATCCTCAACTTCCAGTTTGTCCGTGCGCTCAGCAAAAGACCAAGTTCCATGCATTCAGTCCACCTGGCAGAAATGACTCTAGCATGTCTGGGTAAATGTTTATGTTTACAATGTGATATTTCCAGCTCTTAACTCCTAGAGCACGGTGTGAGTATTGACATGTATACAATCTCTCTATTCTTATGTCTGTAGAAGAAATGACAGCATATTCATTAAAGTCAAGTCTGAATCAATGTTTGATACACCTTCTAGGCTCCCATATTTGAAAAAAAGTTACTTTAAAATCAAAGGCCTCCCAGAACTATAGACTTATTTTCCCAATTGTCAATCATTTTGGTATATGTGCTCGTCAAATTAGACCAGTTCAAAAAGTGGAGAGGGCGGTTCTTTCCTAAAATTTAGGATAATCCTCCTATATACCTTTAATCTTAAATTTGTTTTTGTTTTTTGCTGTAAATTGTACAGATTAAATAAATCTTGAATCCCTTAAACAAACTCACAAGTACGTTTCAAGTCTCCATAGTCATTTTTTTTTTTCATCTCAGAACTAACCTGAATCATTAGATCAAGTTCAGGATGTAAGCACTGAATCCACGAAAAAATCAAAAAAAAGTGGTCACATGAACAGAATACTACAGAATACATGCATACGGCATGTATTCTGTAGTATTCTGTTACAAGTCACCCTAACCCTAAGGCTGTTGTAATCTCTTTCACCCTCTGTTCATTCAGGGATATCGTCTTGCACTCTGTCCACGTGGCTCACCTGCCGACTGGCCAGCTCCGAACAGCAGAGGATGTTTTTGGAAAGGGAGCACTCACTGCATCACTCTCACGAGATGACAGACAAGGTAAGACGTTTAAGAACATACAAAAAGCTTACGCTTTGCTGGACCTCAGCTTTTTCTCTTATCAGGAGACCCTGGATAATTCTAGTAGTCATGGAATTCCTCAAATCTCCTACAATGGACACACTTCATCATCTCCATGACCTTACAGTATACAGCTCTCGTCAAGAGGGAAACAGCATGTGATTTGTTCTGTAACTTACGGCACTATTGCCCCATGACTGTGGGGAGTGTGTGTCTTGCCTTTGGCCCGCGGTTGAAGTAAAACTACATTTGGCCAATCAACCACATAATTAAATATGCAATTTATTTTCATGCTGTAAGATCTGTACAATTTAACTTTATCCACACAGAGGCCTCAAACTGATGAGCACAAAGAAGCATGCAGCTATTTTAAGAGCTATTTAGTGAATGCAAATCTTACTTCCTCAGACAGTATGTATCATCTCATAGTGGAATGATTTAATACAAAGTGATACTTATTACTGTATATTATTGCCTGTATATGTATAACTGTATATTGTTATGTCTATAAACTGAAATTATTTTTGTATAAATGCTTCTTATAAAAGGGTACGCCATTAAAGAGACAATTCTATCTGTTTTGTTCTATGTTTGTTTTCAGTCAACCAGGGGGATGCCTTATGGATGGATGACTAAAACCTAAAAAAAACATTTTCAATATTCTGTTTGTTTATGTAATTGGGCATGGGTCGATAAACTGCACGCCACATGGTCATTTAAATCAATAAAAGGGAAGAATTATAATTCATTGAATTCCATTGGGCCCACAATTTAACCCAGTAATTCTTTAACTTGTGCTCTAAGTTCACAGTCTGGTCGTAAAGGTAAGAAATGAGTAAATCAATGTAACAGCTGTAACAAAATGCTTCCCTCAGCAAAAGTATAACAGCGGTAAAGTTATTAGATTGTATTCAAATACTTCGACTCGCACTTTGGCAATGCTGGAGCCACCGTATTTAGCCCCAAGCGGACGAAACGATGGACACAAGTTATTTTACCTTCAAAATAGTCAAATAGTGACTAAAAGGGCTTTAAAATAGATGTAGTGTTTTCTCATAAGATAATCAAGACGTGTTTTGATTAGTTCACATGTTACTTATACAATATTCTTTCAATTGGGACAAACAACATGTATTTTCTATGGGGAATTAATGTTTACAGTCTATGGGAAAAAGTTACATACCCAGTCCATGGCTGTAACAAAACAGTTGTAATACTCCCTCAGAACCGCAAGAGGGCAACACCCTGTAGCTCGTGCGCAAAGCGGATCTCACTTGTTGCACTTCCGGCTTCTCCACGCAGCATGGCGGACCCGCAGCGTGCAAAAGACAGCAGTAAACACGCGCCTATGTCCAGGGGTACAGCGACCACCTCCACACCTGACGTTGGGCCGGTGGAGGAGGCGGGGGTCGCGGCCTCGATCCCTTGTTTTTCCCGGGCCTCGGAGCTGCTGTCCGCTCCGTACTCCTGCCTGGTCCTCAACACTCACCGCAGGCACATCGCTCTGCCGCCGCTGCACCTCCACAAGAAGCGGACAGGCATCAGACAGGAGCTGGACACCGAGCTGCTCAAGTTCTCTCACAGGTACATGGTAATTATTCATGTCTGTGATTGTGTTCTAAAGTGTATTGTTAAACTCACCATCATCATCAACAACTATAGCCTCAATAACAAAAGCAAATGTTTCCATGATTGTAATGAGGACAAATCCAACTCTTCTGTGTAATGTGAACAAACGTATGAAATATATGTGATGTGATGTCACCAAGTAGGTTAGGACTAAGATCCACTATGGTTTGGATAAAGTGTAGGGTTATGGATGGGGTAAAGGTTTGGTTTATGAGTCCAGGATCAACTTGTAACTGCGATGATGGTGTCAGATAATTTCTCAAATATAAATGTCAGTCAGTACCACACACTGATGGTGGTATGATACAAATACAAATCTGAGATATTGGTGCAACATCCCAGATTTGTATGAAAGGAAATTTGTGCTTGTTTTTGTGTGTCAATACTTGCTTTAAGGAGTATCTAGTGTTGATTCTACTTTTAGTTTTATTTTTATTTTTTTTACTTTATTGTAGTTTTCACAACTCTAAAGTTTCACACGGTGTAACTGTCTTACAGTGATCTTGTTTTATTTAGTTTAGTTTAGTATTTTAGTTTTGGATGATTGAAATAAAGGGATGAAAATGATGATAATTTTGAATACCTCGTCTTTCTAGTCCACAACATCAATCTATGGGAAATTCTGTATCCTGTGTTTCTTAAAAGAAATTGTAACAAAAGTCTGTTTCAGTTGAGACCATATGAATAATAATTTCACTTACTGACATAACATTATGGTTGTAAGCACAAACACTGAAGTAGTCTTGTCCCTCATACCCTGCTTTGCTTCTGCTCTGTGTTACAGATTGAGCGGAGTGCCCCTAGCGTACGACGATATAAGAATATTGGGGCAGCAGGGAGACATCTTTGACGACAGTGGCTACATCCACTTAAACATTGAGGCCAACTTCATTGTGTTTCAGCCCAAGAAAGGACAAACTCTGTTGGTAAGCCGCATGTTATGTCATGATCTCTTTATTGTGTTTTGAGAACTGGTTGATTTGTTTTGCTAATTAAAGTCTTGTTAAAGGGTAAAGTAAACAAGCTGGGGGCAAATCATGTGGGATGCCTGGTTCACGGCTGCTTCAATGCCAGCATCCTCAAACCAAACCTGGTCTCCATGGAGACTTGGAGGTATGCGGGACCCCAGATCGGCTCCGAGCTGATGTTTGATGTGACCGCCTTGGATGCAGACTTTGTAGGAGTTCTTCTCATCAGAGGACGAATGAAAAAAACAAGGCAAGTGAAAATGCTCTATTGTAATTTAGATTTTGATTGTGTACGGTCACACTGAGCTTTTTGACCCGTCAGTCCCGGTGTGAAAGGAACATATATTCTGATCCTTCAGTTTTTTTTTTTGCTCGATTGAAAATGACCATAGTCTGCATTTTTCTGATTGGAAATAAACTTATTAAACCTTTGATTTATCAGCTAAACTTTTCAAAAAACCTTACAGATAGTTATTTTTGAAAAGTCAATGTAAGTGCTATTGTATGTAATGTTAAGTCTATTTTTTGTTTGCCATTTTCTGTAGCTATCACTATTAACATGTCACAAAGCCCCTAAACTTAGACCAATGAAGTGGGTCAGTCAGTCAGGTGTATCTGTGTTCAGTCCACTCAAGGAAAAAATACAATAAAAAAACTAATATCTTCTGTTTGGCTTCACTCTTGTGTATAGGGTGCAGGAGCTGCTGGCTATCGGGGAAAGTATGGCATTTACTGTACAGCCTGCTATACAGCAGTGGGCTGCTGGTGCCCAGCCTGATGACCAGCCTGCAGACCAGCCTGCAGACCAGAGCGTAGATCTGCCTATGCACCAGACCATAGACCAGATCACTGAGCCGATGGACACACCTTCTGATGAGACGCCAAAGAAAAAGAAGAAAAAGAAAAGGGATAAAATCAAAGAAGAAGCTCCTTTTACCCCAGAAAAGGATACAACAGTGAGTGAGGCCATGAGTGAGCCTTTATGCGACATTGGAGGAAACACAAAGAAAAAGAAAAAAGTCAAAGTTAAAGAGGAAAGCATAGATGTGCCGGTGACCCTCCCCTTTAACCCCGAGTATGACAGAGCAACAAACACGACAGCAGAGTTAAATGGAACAAAGGAAGAAGAAACGAATGGTTCTGAGGAGAAAAAGAAGAAGAAAAAGAAGAAAGACAAACGTTTTAAAGAGGAGCCGCAGGAGGTGGCGGTAACTATGGAGGTCCACGGCAGTGACTCCAGCGGATACCCCAGTTACAAGCCCAAGAAGAGGAAAGTCCATTCTCAAAGTGAAGACTCACCAGGTTTTAGTCAAGAGTTTGAAATGCCGTGTAAGAAGAAAATCAAGACTTTGACTGAGCTCAAAGAAGAATCACTAACATTTTAGATTGTAATCAAGGCGTTGAAACAGTTGCAAGAAAAATGCCTTTTCTGCGTGGGACTTACAAATGGACACAAGGTGGAGCTAGTGCACAAATACGTGCTGGTTGGATGTCATGACACTTCCTAAAGGGGGAGCCGAATCACTGAAGTCACATCTAGGTTAAAGATAACCATTCTGAACGTGAAATGTGTCTGCTCTGTGCGATTAAATTATAGGGTCTGAGTTTTCTTTGATAATACAATATGGGCAATATATTTTTGTCATAATAGCATCAAAGTTATGGAACATAATGACCTAATAAAGAGTTCTATATTTTGTCATGATTATGTTGATTATTTGAGTTTCAAAATGAAACTTTCAGAAAGGACAATATAAGAGGACTTTGTTAAGTCAGAAAGCCTCAAGAACCTTGATGTTATTATGTTAGAATTGCTTATCATGACCACTCTTTCACATGCTGCCACTCAAAGTTTTGAGAGTATGGACTTTAAAACTACAATTGCTTTGTACCCTCTTTACATTTACATATTTATAATTATTGGTGTGTAGGGGGTTACCTCTAGATATTTTCTGCACCGTGTCCTGGTGAGGTAAGCTGCTTATTTCCCTTTGAAAAGTTGTGACATGAGTTTCACTGTATATAAACACATTCTTCACCAAAGTTGGGTATACATTACCTCTGAACTTTAAAGATGTAACATCTGACTATAACTTTACTGCAATATCCATCGCTTGTACAAAACCAGCGCCTATGCACCTGCACCCTCTCATTTATTGTTATATTCCTCTGCTCTTCAGTTCTGCTCCTCCTATGCTCTTACCTTTAAGCCTCTTCTACTTGTCTGTCTGATTTATTTGAGGCAGTGTGCAGTTCACACACATTCCACTCCAGGATCCCCCTCTCCGCCCCCCTGTCCTGCCACTAGACTCTCATATCATAGAGCCGGTCGTTTATCTTCATAATCCTCTGATAGAGAGAGTAAAGAACGTGTGCAGGAGGAGATGAGACAAAAGGAGGAGGCTTGCTTTTGTTGGGTTGAGACTTCTTAAAGCTGACCAGGATTTGAATTATCCATGGAAATAATGTTTACCTTAATTCTATGTTGGGAGTTAATTGAACAACTTTGTGCGGCGCTATACAACCCACAGCACCATGTCATAAATACATCTAACACTATGCAAAAAGTTCTTTCTCCATCTCAAAATTTCCAACTTGGACATGAAAGCACCAGTGGAGTCTTTCAAACTGACGCAATTCCATCATGACCAGGACAACGTCAGTCACATTCGCAAAAAAAAACACTATCCACAAATCCCCCACCTTTACCACTACTCCTCCCCCCTAGCCAAGCCTAATTAGTTATGTGGTCGGCACTGGTCCGTCTTATAGCCCCAAATGGCCGTGGGTCATAAAAACTTAAGTGTTCCACCAGTCAGAGCTGTGTTACTGTGGCTATATATCGTCCAACGTGACTGAGAAATATCAAAGCTCATCTCTCACAGGCCTACTGACATCCATGAAATCACTTTATGGCATTTTCAAAGGAATTTCTGGGTAATTTTTTGGCAATTGTGCTTTCCTTCACGCATCTAGTTCCATCACACAGGTTGGAGAAAAACAGGATTTCCCTAAAGGTCCTTGTCTTGTGTACAAGCTCAGTGGCACACACTTTTAACCCCAAAAGAAAACATTGCTTAAGGTGAGCTGGGCTTATTCCCATAGTGTTGCATGGGCACCCGACACCCATGGTCCTGCCCCCGTAACCCTGGCGACGACTGACGGGTGTTTCCTGTCACAATATTATGCCCTGGAGGATAGTTTGGACTCAAGTAAAACTATTTGTGCACAAAATCATTACCTTCAGTTCCTTAGGGAGCATCTCCAGCCATCTATCTGTTTGACATTTATTACAGTATAATGCTGTTTTAAAACATTCTAATCCTCAAAATTTCACAACAATGTTCTTCAAATATTTTTTATCTATTTCAGAGTCAGGTTGATCTTGCACCTGTACTGTACTCTTAGCATCGTGAAAGCTGGGGTACCTAACTTTTTTGTTTCATAAATACATTTTGTCCTAACAGAGTTTTGTATGTTACATTTTGTCACTTACAAAAATCAGACCTGACCATGCTGTGTTTATCTTATGAGAAAACCTTTGATCTATTACATGCTGAGAGCTGATTGGTTGAGAGGGCTAGTCCGCCTTATCACTTTTCTGTCTGAAATAGCAGATCTAAAGATGCGACAGAAGCCAAACGGATATCCATGCATAAAAACTAGGGATAGAACCAAACGGTTTTGAGGGTAAGGAACTAGTTACATCTCACCTCGAAAAGAAAATTACAGTAAAGTATCAAAACATGTAGGTTTGTTGTGTAAAATTAAATATAAATTTCACGTTCAAGCCACATCAGTCATATCAGATAGAGTAACACTTGCCCAAGTTATCGAGATTAATTACAAATCCTTAAAAAAAAAGGATACGCCATAGCAGCCAGATTTGAGTGCTCTCTCAAATCCTTCTACAGGATAAAACTCTTCTCAGCAAGAAGGTCCTGGGTTCGAATCCCGGTCAGAACATTGCTCTTCTGAGTGGACATTGCCTGTTCTCCAGTTTCCTCCAGGTGCTCCAGTTTCCCTACCACTAAAAACATGCACTGTAGGTATAAATGCAGCAAGTGGGGGGGAATGGATGTTGTTGTTTGGGGGCTTTGATGTGTCTCTGTGTTTGTTGTCTCACCTCTGTCATCTGTAAAGTGCTTTGAGTGACCTTGTAAAAATACGCTTTATAGATTAAGATCACTTACTTTGTTACTTACTAATACATGCAGTATGTGTTATATAAGTTGATAGATTTCCTCCACACCATAAAGGACAAACTCAAACGCACAAGCTTTACTATAACGTTTAAAGGACCAAAGATTTTGAATGGAATTGACAATTTTGTAACACAATCTACATTATTGAGATTATTATATGTACAATTATTATTACTTTGTACATACACCATGAATTTCCAAAGCTGTTGAACCAAAAATACAAAAACTATGACATTATTGTTGTTACTGTACCATAAATTCATTTTTGATATTGCAGCATGTATTCCGTAGATAATAACATAAACATTGTCCAGTATCAGAGTATGAAATTATGAGTATTTGAAATAATTAAGAAAGTGTACAATGCATTCTTTATCTGTTTTACATTTACAGTATTGGGACCCCAGATTATAAACTGATGCATTTTCTTGGGAGTTCTCTTTTATCAAGCAGTAACACAGCAAACCAAAAGTAAAAAGTGTATTGACTTTAAACATATTTTGTTAAATGAAGAGAATTGAATTGACTCTGAACAATCAGATGTAATCACTGTAGTTTCAAAGTGAATCAACAACCAGAGCTTGAACAAAAATGTGCAGTTACTTGAAGTCCTCCCTCAAAGCTTTTGAGATGGGACCAGATTGCAGGAGGCGGAGATTGCAGGAGGCGGAGATTGCAGGGGAACGACTCACACCATATCAACACGGCTTCAGTCACAGTCGCCCAAACCACAGAATGACAAACGAGTCTCCAGCAACACAGAAAAATGTGCGACTTTGGAAAATATGACCTCATGTTTCGTTGTGCATTTCAACACAATATTTTTATATTTCTACTTTAATGACTACCAGTTCAGAGTAACAAGTGTGGCTGTCTGCTTGATAAAAAAGAAGAAAAATGGCCCTTCGACTGATTGGTGGAAATACTTTAGAATAGAAATGAGGAGATGGAACTCCCTTGATCAGTGAAGCTTGGCTCTGACACATAGCCCTGCTCACTTTTATAGAAGCACATTAGTCAAACGCGTTCAGAAAGAAAAACAACGCTTCCCGAGCTCTTCATATTGATATTCAGAGCTGCTATCATGTCTTTTGTAATGTTCATTTACAAGAGTGTTTGTGAGAAGAGTGAGATGTTTTAATAGCTGTCCATTATATAGTCTTCCTATAGACTTCCTGGGTTCATGTCTTTAATAAATTAGCAAATATAGCATGAAGAATGAGCAAACACAGAAATGAATAACTTGATCAGTAAGAATACAAACACATAAAGGCAGAATTTCAAATTGCCTAACTTTTTTGACACTACAAAAAAGATAAGAGATCCTTTATTCGTCCCACAGTGGGGAAATTTCATTGTTGCAGCGCACAGACAGGACAGTAGTAAGAGCACACAGGGAGCACACAAAATAAGTAGTAGCATCCATTTTCTTCCCCTTTATCCATTTCTGGGTCGGGGGGGGATGGCAGTCAGAGCTGCACCCAGTACACAGAGCACCAGCCCCTCACTGATCCTCCTGCAGGTGGTGAGTCCACAGGAGCCTTGATCTTTCAGGCAAAGTGGAGTTAAGTGTCTTGCCCAAGGACACAACAACAGCAGTCATGGGAGTCGTGAAGTAGGCCTTATTGTGGGCTCGAACCCACGACCTACAGGCCCAAAGGCCAATGCTCTACCAACTGAGCCACTGTCGCCCCCAATGTTCTCAAATAGCTGTAAATGCTTCAATACCAGTTTTTCGGGAAAAAAATATATATGTATATATATATATATATATATATATACATATACCGCACTACATATATATATATATATATATATATATATATGTAGTGCGGAGTTATACTGTAAATATTGGGCAGGATGATAAAGTAAAGTGACATTGTTCAGTGGACATTCTGAAGTTGCAGTATTACACACTGCACATGATTTTAGTATTTACTTATTTACTGATGAAGGACATTTTCAGGCTCAACAGTTTTCATTGTATAGTCTGACAGCAGCAGAAAGGAAAGACCTGTGGAACCTCTCCTTCACACTGCGAGGGTGTAATCTATTACTAATTGGTTCTGTTGCTAGTTTTCACAAACATATTTTGGCTTCTGTCACATCTTTAAATCAGCTCAGTGTAAAGGAGAGCACCAGCTGTGGTTCACTCACAAATGTTACTTAATTAGACAAGAAGGTCTAGAATAGATTCTAGATTTAGAAATAAGCCGATGGAATAAAATGTAACTATAAACATGGTTTGAAACCTTGCAACACAAATCAAATACCAGATGCACTATTGTCTAGATTACAATTCATTGTGGTGTTTACGGTTGAGTCCAAGGAAAACCTCTTCTTTGACCCTTATTGACAAGGCATTCCACTGAGAGACCAGGCAACTGAGTCTAGTAGTTTTTCACAGCTCCACCTAATATAATTTTAAGTATATTTACTCGTCATAAAAGTTACAATTGGATTTCCTTCTCTTCCATAACCAGAAAGACCCTGCTCAATTGCTTCACTATACTTACATACCATGTCGAGGATTATGATCCATGTCTTAAATATAGCCTGAACACGTATTTATTTTTAAAAACGGTTTTCCAAATTCCATGTGACGTTTTAAGAGATCCTTTGTTCCTTCGGCCATAAGACTTTATAACAGAGTTAAACATGCATACTTTATTACTTTAGTACTATCGTTAATTACTTTTAGAATTATGTATTTATTTATATTTAATGGATAATGTATTTTTGCTGCTGGACACTTGAATTTCTCCTACAGGGATTAACAAAGTATAAATCTCTATCTATCTAAAAAGATCTCAATGTACCAAAATATTTTATGTAAGTGCCTTTTATCTTACTTTGAGTAATCCCATTATCTTCATTATTATTTAAGCTGTAAACACCACTCCTATGGTTAATGAAACATGGCACCCAGAAATGCATAGTGAAGAGTGATTGTAAGGCTTTTGCAGTGAAAATAAACACAGAACAAAGTGCTGACATGAGCGAAGGTGGGTGGGGAACCGCATTGTGACATTTTTGGGGGAGGAAGACATTTGGATTAAGGAGAGAAGTGAGGAAAGGAGGAGCCCGGGGTATTTTGCAGAGCCTTTTAGTTTAAAACGGGGGGTGCGTTGATATATATGATGTGGTTTTGGGATTTATCCAAGTTTTGAAGCTCATGCAGGGCTCTTACCTTTCACTGGCCGCCCAGCTGTGTAAACAAAACACAAGTGGTTGGAGTTTTCAAATGGTTAGCCAATCACAGGTGTGGATTCCAGAAGAGGGCGGGACTTGTGACTCTGCTTCTGTATGGAAGCAGAAGTGACATAATGGAGGAGAGTTGGATAGGTCAGAAGTTAAACTCATCTTCCCTACTCCCAGTATCTTCCATTGTGCAGCTTGGCACAATTCAAATGGTTGTGTTACAGTGGGTTTCATGAAAAATGGAAGAAAAATATTGTAATACGGATAAATCCTGTCACACTTTTGGACATAAGAATGGGAAGATGCCGTAAAGGAGTGTCTGGTTTCAGATTTACTGTGGTGGTGGGAGCGAGTTGGCCGTTGTTTGTAGCACACAGCGGACAGAGCCAGAGAAAAAGGAAAGAAGACAGATTTACATAGTGAGAACAGATCTGGCAGTGTCTGAGGAGCGGAGCACCCTGGACCCTTTCTCCACTGAACTCTATATTAACTACAGCTAACTACAAGACTGAATTCTCCAATCCCAAGCCACCTACTGACATACTGTCCTGTACAAAAGATGGATGGGCCCAGTGTGGGGCAGAGGCTCCACTGTTCGGTGCAGGCAGTAAATCAATAGATGTTTTTTTGAGGAGGGCAGTTATTAGTAGAACTATGTGTGTTATGAAACCAACATATTTCACATTGTGACTAAAGGGATTCAAAATTTAGTCCATGTAATACTTCGTGTAAATACAACTTTATCGCACTTGCAATCATTTTCAATCACCCCCACAATAGATTATTTGACGACTATATGGAATTCTGAACAAAGATATAGGCGTGCGTATACTAGGGACATGTGGTGGGCTAAAAACAAACAAAAATAACAAGATATTTTGATTAATTTAAATAGATACGCTATCAATGTTTATTCAGTAATATTGATATTTTGATATTGATTTGTCAACGTTTTAAAATGATCTCATAATAGATTCCCTTACATTACAAACAGAGGCAGAGACTAAGAAGATAAATGTGATATATTTGTGGAAAGAGGTTCTGAGCATTCGTCAAAAGGCATTTATTGTCATTTTTTGCTGAATCTTATGGAAAACATTAGAAATACATCATATACAATCTTATCGAAGTGCACTGTATTGAGGTATGTATCAACAAACCCTAAAAAACACTCAGCTCTAACGTTTACATCTGCTTCGAGATTCAAGATTTCTTTATTGTTATGGAAATACACATAAGACAGGCATCAAACACGATACAGCAGCACAGACACAAACCATCACCGCTCTGCTCGATGGCCTGCATTCAGGAGGTTCTCACAGATATTGGGAGATGGTCTTACACCGGTTGAGATATCTTTTATAATTTTAGTTGGTGCTCTCTGTAGCGGCGGCTGATAGGAGCGGCTCATACTGAGAGTAAAGGAACATGAGAAAGGTCTGAGGTGACTTACCTGCTTATCTCAAAACAACTGTGCATCAAGAATAAAAGTCATATATAACAAGAGATTGATTATTTCTATATTTGAATACGTCTTCTTGCTGTTACTAGTGCATCCCTGATTGTCTGTGTGTGTTGTGATTGTTTTTCGGGCAAAGCATGGCCCACTTTACTGCTGATCCGAGACCCACCTGTGTGTTCTGGATAATGGCGTTGCATGCTTCGCACCACTCATCTCTCACATTGTTATTACATTGTTCTTGTTGTGAGGCATCCGAGCGCGGCGGTTTCACACTGACTCCATCATCGCACTATTTACCCGTCCACACAACAGGTTGCTCCTCAAGCGATCATTAATTTCCTTGTTAATAAGAGAGCTGAGCGGGAAGTGGGTCATTACGCGCCTCGTCCTGTGTGTTTCCACCATAAACTCTGTAGGTGTGTGCTGCTTTTGGAGCTTTTACTTCTTATTTAAGACCAATATTTACCCAGCAGCCCCAGGGTGAGATTACCTCATATTCTCCTGCCCAGCTGTGCTTTCTCAACGTTTCCAAGACAACCGACAGAATGTCCTATCATGTTTATCTGGAAAACAGAGAGAGGGATGGAGAGGATATGTTTAAATTGAGTCTTGGAAGTGACTGAGCTAAAACAGTCTGCACGTCATTTGCAAATAAAACAAAAGTTACAGGGAAATATATAGGACAACACAGTGTAACGATGTAATGAAGCCCACAGTACATTGCTTTTGTTTCTTTTTTATTTTACTAAATAAATCAAAGAAACAAAGTAACTATATATACTATTTATTACTCAACTTTTGGATTTAGACTTTAGTTTGTCACATTTTTCTATGCAAGTTCTTATTTTTGAATCATTTATATGAAAGAAAAAACTCTTAAACTCTTCTTGCCACCCTGGTAAAGCCATGTTCCAGCTTCTTCCCTCGGGCAGAAGATATCGGTCGCTGAGATGCAAGACATCTCGCTATGCTAACAGCTTCTTTCAACAAGCTGTTAGGTGTCTAAACAGAGCACTATAATTGTTACTTTTACCCCTTGTATCGTTTTTTTTGTCGATCTGTGCCACAGTGTCAGCTGTTTTTATTTAATGTATGTTCAGTGTATGTGTATATGATGTGTATGTGTATTTTATATTATTGTATTGTGCTCTTTATTCTGTTGGTGCACACTGAGTACCTTTTTTTGCAAATGTATTCCAATGTGGTTTTTATACTGCACATGGCAAATAAAATGAATCTGAATCTGAATGAATCTGAATCTGAACTCAATTTTGTTTCATTAAATGTAATGGACTGATACAAAACATTCTAAAAATAAGTTATAAAAAACATGGTAGAACGTTTCTAAAGCCATTGGATAAAAGTTATTATTAATAGTTGTTATTAGAAAAGCAAACACTCAGGGCTTTGGAGGAGTAAAACATATCACTTTGTTAATAACATAATTGTTCATTTTGAGTTGCTATTGAGAAAACAAAATAATGATTTAGTAAGTATTGTGACACATGCCTTTTCCAGTCACAGGCTGTGTCACTGCACTCATGGCCCATTACTCACTCCTCTGTTTTCAATATTACTCTCTTATTTTGTGGTTTGTTTAATATATGGAATTGGCCCAATCACCTCCTCAAAGGTTGTGGCTTCTCTCTAATGCCATGGGAACGGAAAGATATCTACTTCAATTTGCAACAGAAAAGCTTTGAGTGTTGGGGAATGTTCTATTTGGTCTTCCCCTGGTCTGTTTAAGGGGTAAAAGTCTCATTATTTAGACTCTAAAGAGCAGAGGACAGTGCAAACAAGTCGCTATGACCTCGAAGTCAAGAGCCTCCGTCCTCCAGAAGCCCATTAAGGACCACGGAATACACGCCGTCCGAAGGTGGCTTATATCTGCGAGTTTAACCCAAGATTTTACGCACTGATCAGTCAAGTGAAGCAGACGTGGAGTATGTGGGTCCTGCGGCCACACGACATCGAGGATTTACTAAAACAGCAGGAGAAGGTCATGGACTTGTGCCAAAAGGATCTCACCCTGGTGCGTAAGGACCGGATTTAGAAATTACATTCACTTTATTTGTGCCAAAGTCATTTTGGACCAGATTTTCGCCCGGATTAGTGAGGACTCTTCTTTCCAAATAAGTAGAGGAGGATAATCCTTTATTCAAACGCGAAAATATGGATTTTCAACAAAAATACGCACTGGAGTCAAATCAGCAGGTGGAGTGTGTGTTTGTCCAGGCGCACCAGGAGCCTGTGAGGTTCAGCAGCTGTAAGGCCAAGCGCAGGAGGATCATCAATGTGGTGCAGAGGCAAGCGGCCAACGTGCGGGAGAGGAAGAGGATGTTCAGCCTTAACGAGGCCTTCGACGAACTGCGGAGGAAAGTCCCCACGTTTGCTTACGAAAAAAGACTGTCCCGTATCGAGACTCTGCGGCTGGCCATTATCTACATCTCCTTCATGCGGGACCTGCTCGAGAACACCTGAATCTGGACTTTTCTTTCAAACTCTCGTGGAATGGAATTTGACGAACTAATGCAGTGTAATGTTGTTTATTTAGCCTATCTGAGCCCGCACACATGTATTTATGATGTTTCTGTTAAATGAGTAAAGTATTGGTTTTAACGAGACATTGATTAATGGTAACAGATTAATAGGAATGGGTTCTATGTTGACTAGAAAACATGAATGCAGCGTGTTCAGGTGTAGTTCTTCAGCACCACGGACAGCGTCAGATGCGCCTCACAGGTGAGCTGCCTGAACACTTCCGCAGCTGATAACTGCATAAAGGACAGATCACATGGCATGGTAGGCTGACTGTAGTGGAAGAGGCCCATGTGTGGACTTGGAGAGCGCGGTCAATAGACTGCTAAAGGGATTTAATGTCATATCCACGGGTGTCTTTCCCAGGTGTTGACTTTGCGATTGACGCACAGATTGGTGTTTTGGTGTTCTTGAGGCGTTGACCCTCTCAGTCCCCACTAGGCGAGAGAAGAGAGTCCTCCTACGATCCACATTTAGTATTCTGTCGTGTGTTTTACTGGTACAGAGCCGAAGGACCACAGATCTGTGATTTCAGCATTTCTCTCTCCCCTTCTTTCCCCAGTGTTTGTCTTGCTCCGCCTTAAGCGACCCCGCTGCGCACAGATCCGCCCTGTGTGCTCCTTGAACGGTCCGCCTTTAAACCTGAGCCGCGGTGTCCACATCCCTGCGGGACTCGGGTCCGAGAAGCGCATACCTCAACGCGGGGCCCGACGGGAAAATAAACAGCTCACTCCTAAACGAGGCGGACCTCCAGCTGAGACAGCCTCCTGAGTGTAGAGCTGCAGAGGATGCTTCATCGTGACAACCAAACACAGTTTAGACCTTAAGCAAATGTTGTCAAAAAGCACATTCATCATTGGCCTATTTATGCATTATGCTGGGCGATAGAAAACAGAGGTCAATCAAGTTGCTAAATTAATAAACCAGTCCAGGTCATGGTCATATGGCTAAACCACAAGGTACAAATAAAATACATCGAGAAAGGCATGTAATAAAAGCATGCAGGTGGGTAAAATTGGAAGAAGTCAAAATGTTGTGAGCTATACTCCTTTAAATATGAAGCATAAAATGCTACTAATGAAACCCTTTTTAAATGTATTTAATTGGTACGCCAATTAAAGACAATTATAAGGATGTTGATCCTTATAATCAGTATTAAACTGGTCTATTTCTAAGGGAAAATATGTCCATGTTTTTAAATGTGTATTTCAGTAAAGCATGTGATGCTAAACCTTCACAAAGTTGTCAGTTTTCCTTTTTAAAGATTAATATGGACATATCTAGGCTATTATAACAGGGCCTAGTTTTCTGCAGTATTAAATTACACACAGACTTTTGGCCAATCAGGGCGCTCCCCAAATTCCTCCTGCCGGTTCCCTATAAAAGCCCCGACCCTCCTGTCTGGCAGCCACCTCTACTTCTCTGTGGCTTATGAATATTTGAATAACATAAGCGGCTCAAGCTTGTGTTTGTTCAGGGGGAAAGGCATTGGGTAACTCTCCAAACTAAGTCAAAGTTTCGAGTCGCTCGGGATGCGGGAAGAGGACCACTCCCCCATGGACAGTGCGGGGAACAGTGAGGAAGAAACGGAGCGTCAACTTCCAAGAAGAGGCTCAAGAAAGCGGCGAGCGGCGCGGAGGAGCACGGAGGATGAGGATGAGGCAGAGACGCAGAGTCCAATCCCGGAGAAAAAGAAAAACCTGAAGAAGAGTAGTGATGGCGGAGGCGGGAGCGCAGGGAGCAGTGGTAGTGAGGCCAGCAGCAGTCCACCGTGCTCTTTTGAAGACCTCCACACGCAGCGCGTCATGGCCAACATCCGCGAGAGACAACGCACACAGTCCCTCAATGAGGCGTTCACGTCGTTACGAAAGATTATCCCAACACTGCCTTCGGACAAATTAAGTAAGATTCAGACTCTGAAGTTGGCATCCCGTTACATAGACTTCTTGTACCAAGTTCTTCAAAGCGACGAGATGGATGCGCGAGGCTCGAGCTGCAGCTACGTGGCGCACGAGAAACTGAGCTACGCGTTTTCGGTGTGGAGGATGGGGGGAGCGTGGTCCCTATCCACAGCATCCCACTAGCAGCCTGCCCAAATGCATTGCACGGTAAGCAAACTATAACATTAAAATATATATATATTATTATAAAGTGGAAATGAGTTCATACGTGGGCCAATATCCTTCAGAACAAGAACATTGGTTATTCATAGGCTATTGTGAATCTATGAACTCAGGTAAATGTTTGACAGTAACACTCATAGTCTAAAGTATGTGGCTGTATTAAATCATGTCTCAGTGAACTAAAACTCCTCTCTGCTCACAGATGTTCCAGCTGCAGACCCAGTCCTGTGAGGAAGGAGCAGGTGACTCCACCAAGAGGACAGCGCCTGAGCTTTGGCCCAAAGGACAGTGGCCTTATGTCCCTCTGCACAGACCTGAACTATATTGGCAAGGGAGCACTAAGACAATAGGCACACATGAAGGACCATGAAACTGAAGACCACTGCGACTATGAATGTTGTTCAAAAAGACTCTTAATTGAGAAAAAAAAATTAACATCCATTCCATTTTTCCAGCAAAATATTTATTTTTCTACATGTTTGAGATTCCATGCCACTCAGATAAAATGTATTTATTGTAAATATTCCTTTGAATAAACATGATTTTAATAATACAAGTTTGACTGTCAAAATAGTATGACTTGGTGTTATCTTACAGACAGCCATAAACCATCCCATAATCTCATTGTGCCAGTTCAAAGCCTGGATAGTTAGAAGGCAAATCTTTGGTCAAACGTCTGCTAAAGCAGTCAGCTGTCACTGATCAATACAAGAAAAACAAAATAGCAACAGTGTAACTGAATACCGGCACAAATACCGTTGGCTGTTAACACATTTCCTATAACATTCATTTTGAGGCCCATACGCTGTGTTTATTTGTGCTGGTTGTTGCAGGATCCCTCAGTTAACTAAACCACAGCCGGGGGGGAAAAGAAAACATCTCATAGCCGTGGCTTATTCTGTAGTGATTTCTTGAGCTCAGGGATCTGGGAAAGCCATAATTAGCTGGTGGTCTGTTTGAACTGGGTGGCTGTGGAGCAGTGGGAGGCATGCATGATATTCCCAGATGTCCTCTGAACCACAGGTCAACATGGGAGTCTCTCAGTGCAGGTGCTAAGGCCCAGCCATCACTGCTGACAGATAACAGGGTGGATACGCCTCATGATGGCAGCTATAAGGACCGCAGAATAACACCACGACACACAGTATTGGGCCTATGGAGGAATATGAGTCTCAAATATGAGATACATTACTTGTTTAACTTCATAAAGATAATAAGCTGTGTTTCTATGTAGATATAAGCTTGAGTTGAGGCACAGCTGCTATGATATGAACTTGTGTATTGAAAATAATCTTACATAACGTGGTACAAAGTTGATCCTGTAATTCAATACCGTGAAATCATATTTTGTAGTACTGTAATGATAATGGTTATTTTGATAATTGATTATTCTAGCGATCCATCTTCAGCCTCATTTATGAGTTGTAAAGCCACCAGAGGAATTGACCATTTTATCATAAAAATCACACAAGTCCTGATCATTCTTTTACAATTACTTCCCTGTTAATGAGTTAAAATGACATCTTTCAACAAAAATATGTGTCGGGGTTTGTGTAAAGAGCACTAAACTTTTAACCCGTCACTAAAATAATTTAAAATAGTGAAAAAACTTTAGTTAAGCCCCAACATTTAGTATTTACAGGATAGAGAGGAAAACTAAAAATGTCAATCATATTAACTACCAGTACTTTGAATTATTCTCTTCAATCTAGAATTTAAAAGCATATAGGACAATTTTCTACTTCCAGGTGGATCATCGAGACTATTGGTCCTCCCAACTGTCAATCATTCTGATGATACCTGCTCATCAAATAAGACCGAAGAGTTTTGTTCAAAAAGCGGAGAGGGCGGGTCAATCCTAACATTTGGGAAAATCCTCCTATATACCTTTAATGAACAGATGCATTGGATTCTAAACGTGTCAATTCTGAGACTACAACATCACCCAAGATCCAGGATGGGCCATTTCTCTCAGTTCATCAGTAAAATGTTTTCATGCACCATCTCCACACGGCCCCCCTCTTGAGGATGCTTCTAAAAATCCAAAAGTCACTGCTGTTTTTGGATTGCGGCTCTTGCGTGCGGAAGGTAAAGCCATCAGTTCTGACCCAGGGACCTGGCCAGCCATCGGGGAAATCGATTCCCACCCTCAGATCACCGTGGCCGTGTTATCTTAAACTTGAGGCTGTTGCCCTGACACACAAGAATGTCACCTCTGCGGCTTCAAAACACACACATACAGGTTATAGACACACAAGGAGATTTCTCACGCCGACCTAACCGGGACATGCATTCCACTGCACGCAAGGAAAAAGAGCTCCTGCCATCCACTTTGATGTTGAGGTAATGGGATGACCGCTTGTTATCAGTGTGAAGGCATCTGGCCCTTTACATTTAAGTGTGCAAAGATTTATAGGGTCTTTGATGACGGACACAGACGCACACTCTCTCCCGCTCATTAATCACACTTACCATCTCGCTTTTTAGTGGTCGCTAGTCCTTGAACACATCGACAAGTCAAAGGTGCTGCCCTTTGTGTGTTTTAATAAAGTCAGTAGCACTAAATCTTTACATGAATGTACTTCCTTTATTGTGGAATTTTAGGGCTGAAGAACGGGGGGGTTTTGAAATGACATCAGGAGACGTATACAAATACCAGCTCATGGAGGAGATGTGTAATTGATGTATACAGGAAGCAATCTAAATCTAAACAGCCAGCGTCACCAAAAGTTGCTCAACTTTGCTATGAGTAACATCTAACTTCACAACTAACTATCCTTAAGTAGATGAGTAAGAAGAGCTAAAAATACTTTTATACACAGAAAACCAATGTTTTTTGACCCAAGATGAAATGCGCAACCCGACAATGGGAAAGGGAGCCGAGTTGTTTGAACCTGTGTCGGCTTTTCACCGCAGGAAAGACAAGTACGGACCACTTCATAAAAGAAAAGATGGACACTTAACTCTTGTTACGCGGCTTGTCATGGTGTCATTAGGCAAAGTATTGTCTTTGTGACCTTTCTCTTCATGTGCTCTGGTAAAGATGATCTTTCCACTTTGTAATAACTGGTTATAACGAGTGTATTCTGTTCAAGTGCTTGTGTTGTCGTAGGTAAAACCAGGCAGTACTGGTGCTTCACAGCAAGAAGGTCCGGGACGCAATTCCACCTCCAGATGGGGCCTTTCTTGCGGAGTTTGTAAGTTCTCTCTGTCTGCTCCGGTTTCCTCCGGGTGCTCCGGTTACTCCTCCCACTAAAACCTGTACAATAGTTCAGGATGAATGAGTGTGTGAATGTGACCATGGCACTACAGATGGAAATTAGTGCCATACATTAGTGCAGTGCCCTAAATATATGGTGTATTTCTGTTCATTAATACACACTGTCCCATAATAAAAATAAACATGGCAGCAGCAACTGCCTCATTGTGCTCAGTGTTATATCTGTATAGAAACGTGCCAGACCATCTTGCTGTCGTTTTAACATTTCACGTACATTTATGTAACTACTAGTGCACTACTATTGACTCCACTTTTTTTGTACATAATATATCCTGCATTAACATGCTGCACATTTCTTACTTTTGCACAATTCTTGAGTGTTCCTATCCTTGCCAATGTGACATGTACATTTATCCTGTGTGAGATTAACAAAGTCTCATCTTATCTTATCTTAAGGCATAACGCAGGATCTTACCATAAAACCCTGGACAAGTAATTAACTTCATGTTTCATAAATATCAGATAATCTGGGAAACAGCTGTTTTTGGTGTGAGGAACTATAATTACTGTCATTTTCTACTGACTGCTAAACAATTGCTACATCTAACCCCTTTCATACTGTGAGGCACTTCCTTATGTACCATTGCCTTTACCATCAAGTACGATCAATATTATTCCTTAAAAGTGTGCCAATTTGCAAATTTGTAATCACCTCAGACATAAAAGATTGTTTAAATTATTATTTTAGGATATTATTTCTGCTGTAAAAAGCAGAGACACAACTTTTCAAAATTTGTGGGGTTTTTTTCTTGACATGATCGACAGATACACCAGAAGTGTCTCAATGGTTTCACAGCCAGAATGTAAAACCATGTTGTCAGCCACATGATCTCGTAGAGATAAAGCAGAGAGCGACATCACTGAACTGTTTCATGTGTTTGGGGATTTTGAGTGAATATAAAATGACAGTTTTACCTGTAAGTTTAATGTTTCGTCTTTCAGCCAAGTGGTGCCTTTACTCCTCTGAAGTCTCCCATTATGAAGTAACAAGCTCACAAAAAAGCAGAGAGAGGAAGTGGGTCTGCAGCACACTGGGGGAAGAGGGGGCTGTGTTTGTAAGTCTGGATTCCATTAGAGCTAATTATTGTAGTGTTTCATCTAAACCCTAAACATTTTGTGTGTTTGTGTCTCTCCAGTGAACTGCTTTGACTGTGTGTTTTTATTTACATGTGAATGTATAATATCTGATCAATGTGACAGATCTGTGAGAAACCCTGCTATTACACAACATTTCTATTTTCCAATTTCAAGGTTTGAAATGTTCAACGCACAACCATTCTGTTGTATTTATTCCATGTTCAAATAAACTTTCATTCCTTCATTCACAAAAAAACATTACAAATAATTTTAAAATTGTATTCTAAATTGGAAACCACACCGCTGCAGTACCTACATTTCCAAACCACATAAAACGGAACGATGTGATAAAATCCATCTATGGAAACTATGTCTTCGCTTTCAAAACAGTTTGGTTCTATATTTGAAGTGCATGCATTATTTGGCCACTGTCTCTCTTCAAATCATCTTTCTCAGACAGAAAAGTGAAAAAGTGACTCACGTTTTCTAAAAAGAAGATAGCGTGCTTGTAATTCAATTTGTTCACATAATGTTGATTCTATATTGGTCAAAAAAAAGATTGCAAAACGATGTATTTAGCACCATCAAGTTGCATGTTGACTTGTAGCTGTTTATCCATTACATTTGTATCCGAGCACGATCAAAAGTGTCAAAGTCTCTCATGAGTGAACAGAGTGAGTGAAAAGCACTCAATCATTTTTTCTTGTTTTCAGCATGAGATGTAGAATTTGATGACGCAGCGGAAGAATAATCCACTATTGGAGTCTATCTTTTCCATTGTTTGTAAAGTAGTGACACGGTGATGAAGTGGGCATTGCTGTTGGCAGGACACTCTGAGCACAATGAACACTCAGACTGAAGCACACGTTACCCCCGAGGACGATGGCCACCACAGCGGCCCTCCTGACCTCTGACTCCATCCTCCGACCCCCGTCCCAGCCCGGCCCGACCGTGCAGCCACTGAGCTAACTTCCACAAAGTGACCCATAAGTT